AAAATTATTAAAAACTCTAGAGGGGTGATTGGATTGGCATTTTTTAAAGAAAAATTGCTACATTCCGTGAACACATTTTTCAATCACCTTTTTACCTCGCATATATCAAATTGCTACAGTAATTTTTTTTACAAAAAGTCTAGAAAAATGCAATCCAAACAAAGCCTAAATATTTCTAATGAAAATTGGGGATGGTTAATAGGAAAATAGAAAGGAATAAGGGGCAAAGGTTTTAAGGGGTTCTTGGTACTATATTTCCAAAACTTTGTCTAATCTCACTTAGGGTGGGAAAAAAAAGAAAGAAACCAATCACCCAAGTGATAACCACACTTTGTAATTTGTATGAAGATCAGATGAACTCGAAATGAAATGCATAAAATTTTGGCTAAATTCAACAGAAAACAAAAGATTCTTTTTGAGGTCAAAGAAAGAGATTGAGAGTAAAGCTTTTTTTTTTTTTAATATTATCATTCTTCTTGGTATGGATAACAATGGACTAAAACTTAGGAAATGAGCAGTTTGATTGGATGATTAGAAACAGAAGAAGGTTACTTATCATAAAAGAAATAGGAAAAAAGGCACAAAAGCAACTTGCAGAAGTGGTCCCCCCACAAAGGCATGCATGACCCGAATTCCGTTCCGGGATTTTGATTTCGTTCGATTTGATCAAATTTGGTCAACTAACTCAACCATCCTCCTTAGTCCTCAGCCCTTAGTCAGGTGACATGAACTCGAGTTTGCGGCTTCTTAAGAAACAATTAAAGACATATTCCCACAAAACAAAGTCCATTACTGCGAACGCAAGAAAAGAAAATGGTACATAACAACAGGGGCGAGCGAGAAATCAGTTCATGGTTTTTAACTTCGGTTTGACTATAATATGAGCCAACTAACAGTAATATATATGACGTAAAAATGAATGGTAATGATTTAATGTATACGAGATAAAAAAATAATGGAGAAATGTGTTCATAAAAAAGTTTAAAAAATTTTTACAAAAAATTGCAATTCAAACAAGGCTTTGCCACCGTACCAAAAGAAGATTGTTGAACTGAAACTTGAAAGATTGGAACCGGAAAGAGTTAGAAATACTTGATCAAGAAGACAAAGTAGTAGAGAAACATGCCTAAAAGAAAAAATGTAGTAGAGAAATAAATGTATGATTATACCAACAGTTATTAGTTCAGTGAATAAATAAGGACCGATCATTTGATGACAAAAAAAAAAGGAAAAAATATTGTGTTGGAATAAAAAAAAAAAGTATTGTCGATGTAAAAGCTACAATAGTGAGTAAAATTAAAATAATTAAAAGAAGCATTAGTAGGTAAATTGTAAATTCTATAAATAGCTCTATAAATGACATTAATATTGTGTTCGAATCACATTATCGATGTAAAATCTATGACAATGAGTAAAATAAAAATAATTAAACAAAAAGCATCAATAGGTAAATTGCAAATTCTATAAATAACATATGATAGCAGTAAAATAAAAATAAAAAAGTGTGTAAATTGTAAATAAAAAACTAAAAAAAGCTACGATAGCAAGTGAAATAAAAAAAGTAATCGGTAAATTGTAAATTTTATAAATACCGACTTATAGTCCCATAAAATGACTTATGGTCCATATTTTGGTTCGTGATGTTGATCGGAGTTGAAATCACTTAAACTTTATCTTATTAAAAAATATAATAAATCTATTATTACAAATAATGATTGTCACAAACCTTTGCCAATGGTAGAGATAAATCTTTCACTAAGACAAAAAGTAAATGTTTGGTATATGAAGGCTTCTAATGCTGTCAATTGGCAACTGTTATTAAGGGAAAGCTGAAGTGTGTTTTGAGAAAAATAAAGTTAAACATCAAAAAGTATTAAAACATAAGAGTCAAGAAAGGGGCATTTCCAGTCCTACTCCTACAGGGCTGCTTGAAAACAATTGACAGTCAATTGTGTATGGAGGAAATCTGCTAGTATTATTTACTTGATAAAATACGACCAGTAGTAATAAATGACGCATCTTACTTGTACTACCCAAAAAACACTAAACAAAGGAATAAAAAAGATGGAAGATGTCAGATCCAATTTAGTAGTAATTAAATTCTGAGCAGCAACTGGCGCCGCAAAATAGAATAGATTGCCACACGGGCAGCAGCCCACGTGCCAAAGCAGCAAGCGGTGCGCGCCCTTCGAGTTCTAAGTCTCCGCCGTAACCTCCGCCGAAATCTAACTGTAGTTGATGATCTCAGTTCCGGATGCTCCAGGATCTCAGCTCCGACCACCAAGTCCTTGTAATTAATTTCCCCCACCAACTTGCTCTAATATACTAGTAGTAATTACGATACCTACTTGTAACATATTCTTCTTCTTCTCTAGTCTTAAAGAGTATCGATTCACAAGCACATGGTGCTACAGCAGTCATTAAGCCATAAAGTTTTAAAAATCCCTCTCTCAATTGCTAAACAAAGGAAAATTTTCAAGCATTCAATCTAATTCATAATTGGATGAGTATTTTCCAAGTGGAAACAAAGTTGAATAGGTATAGACATCAAAATATTTTTAAAAAAATGATGTGATTATGAATTTGCAAGGTTTAAAGTATATGACAAAAAAAAGTATACTACAAATTTTAAACCGTATATGGTAAAATACCATCGGTAATGGAATTTTTTGGCTTTTCATACGAATTCAATGAACACTCTTTTTTTTTTTTTAATAAGTAGGAGGCTTTCTTTCATCTTGTCATCTAATTCAATCCTCTCCCGACTTCTAGTCTTCCCGTCTCTTCCTAAAAGATAAGAAGACAAATTCAAGAACTATTTTTTCATATTATGATGTCATAAAATAGTATAGAAATGTAAGCACGAAAATGAAGAAGGGAGAGCCGATGTGGGGGCTAAAAGGGCTTTTAAAACCTATTATTGGCATACACAGCTTTTATATACTCCCACCGTCCTTTTTTGATTTGTTCGATTTTTTTTCATACGATTTAAAATAAGTTAGTTAACTTTGTTGAAAGAATAAATATTACTCACTATCTTCCTAAAGTACCCTTAAATTAGATGGAGCATGATTAATTAGTTTACATTAAATAAGTTAGATTATAATATTCAATAATAATTTACATTAAATAAGATTATTTTAGAGATGTTACAAATTAACTTCATTCTTCAATTAGAAAGTGAACCATAATTTGGGATAGGCGAAAAATGAAAACAAACCTAACAAAATGAAAAAAAAAAAGGGGAGAATGTTAGAGAATGACTTATTATAGCTCAAATCAATATGATTAAGGATACATTACATTTTCTTGATTGGGGTAGCCAAGTTGAGTTGAACAGTGGTTGTTGCACTAACGATATCAATATGTACAGGATTCGATGTTTTAACAAAGACTAGTCCAAATTTTTGTAAGTCAAAAAAATGTTTTGAAACCATGGCAGGCAGAAGAAAACGTTCGAAAAATTCTTAAAATTGTACACGAATTTTTGAAATAACCAGTCTTTAGTGGTAGGTCATGTATGCAACCTTCTATCAAGATATGATTTTGAAACTTGCTAACATCTTATACGAAACCTTTTAAGTGAAAATTACACGTGTAAGTCCACAACTCCTGAAATGCTAAATGCAACTATCTTCGACAATCTCTGCTAACATCAAGCTTAGATGATCTCTGCAAAATAATTTTGGAATGTGGATTACTCCAAAGGCCAGATGACCCTAATAATATGATCCCTTTCCACTAACATTTGTGATTATTTTTTTCATAGTAAAAAATTTTTAAAAAATACGGAGAGGATAAAATTATTGGAGTTGATGACTTCGTCTGGAGACTTCTACACGAGTTGTCCTAATCACACATTTACCAAATTAGGGGGTAGTCTACAATTGCATTAACTCAATCATTCAAACCCCAATGTCACACTATTCTACATCCGTCCACTCCTTACCATGTCACACTGCTGAGGATATTGTTTTCTACATCAACGGATTAAAGTATCTCTATTTTTGTGGTAATCTCTGTTTAGATGGCTCAATCCAGCAGTTCAAGCTAATTATGCTCACATAATCCTTCTCAGGATAATATTAGTATATACTAGCACTACTTCACCATGCCACTAAACACTAGCCAAATGCTAAAAAACAAAAACATTTGGGCATTTTCAATTTTTCACGAACACCCCAACTGCCCTCCCAATTTTTTTTATTTTTTTTTTGACGATGGAACTCTGCCTTTTTCTTGTGTCAATCTACTCTTTCAACCACCGAGTTTTGGCTCAAAAGCTAGGAGATTACAGATTGAGAGTTCGAATCACATTTACAGTGAAAAATTTTAAAGGATGTGTTAGAACACTCATTGGTTTTAGTCAGATTTATATATATGCTAATCTCTTATACATGCTCTTTAGACTCCCCTCCCTATATAGGATAGATTAGATTACAGGATTACTATCGTCGTGGTAAAAAAAAAAATGAAAATCTACTGTCTCGTTTGTGTATTATTTTATCGTACATCGTATTGTCGATGAACATGTATCCAATGTATCTGTACATATAACTATCTCTTGTAGTACTATTTTATTGTATTTATTTTTTTTTTGAAGAACTAAATAAACAACTCGTATTAACCCGCAACGGTTGTGAAACAAGACAAAAAGGTGAAGCAATAAGAAAAATTGGAGACAGCAAAACTGCATTGAATTCCACGAAGTAGTCAGTGGGAACGCGTCTGGTCAGACAGGCGTTAAAGTGCGTCAAGGACAATAAGGTCGAAATATGACCGTCATCTGCCGGTGCTCAACTGACAGGTGTCCATTTTCAGCACAATTGCTTCAATCCCATTGGTTGGTGGATTGAAGCAGGTGTCTTCCGTCAGGAGAAACCGAGTGAAGAAGTTTACCGAAGACGAAGACCATTTCTGGTGAGGGTACATTTGGGAAATGACGGGGTCGTAACGTAAACCAGTGGGCTGGAGGGTTATATAAAGGAGGCGGATGGAGGCGATAAAGGCCACACACTTCACAAAGATCTTCATCACATTTGCACACACTCACCACGTACATTTTCACACACAGAGCACTGCACTGTGCACCCACCCACAAACAGAGAGAGAGTGTTCTTGAGCTTTGCAGCAGAGTTCCTTCTTCCTTTTCAACATCTCCCCCATTCTCTAACATCCCGCTTCTTAGATCCCTTTCTGTTAATCATCTGTCTTTCAAGTTGTTCATATTTTGAGTTTGTATTTTTTGACAAGAAAAATGTTGTACAAAAAGCAAACTTAGACTAAGGATTTCAAGATAGTCAGGTGTTTTCAGAACTGAGGTCCCTTTTTTTGTTTGGCTTCCCTCATTCATTTCTATTTCTTCCAAGTAAATTCTCCTTTTTCTTTCTTTATTTTCTGTTTTAGAGGGCTTATTTGTTGTCCCTCCTCAAGGCCTGCTTATTTGGGCCACAGGATACACTAGAGGTTGTCTATTTGTATACCTCTTCAGATCCTACCATTTCTTTAATTAATTTCCTAGAACGGTTTTTGTGTGTGTAAATCTTTTGTAGAGAAAATCACCTGTTCTTTAATTTTGATAAGAATCAGGTCGGTCTTTTCAGTTTCTTGGTCTCCTTTTTTGTTCTTCTTTCAGTTGTTCAGTTGGTAGTAGTAACGAGTATTAATTATTTTGAGATGGCAGCTGCAATGGATTTCTGGAATAGTACACCTTTAGATCTACAACTGGACCCTTTCAAGGGTGGTGAGTTGATGGAAGCACTTGAGCCTTTTATGAAATCTGGTGCTTCCTCCCCTTCTTATTCTTCTTCTTACTACAACCCTCAATCTTTCTCTACTGCCTCCCCTTCTTCTTTTCCTTCTATGGATGACCAATTCTTCTCTTTCTCTTCTTCTAGCCCTTCTACCTCCTCTTCTGCTCCCTACAACTCTCCCTCCTCCTCCTCCTTTCCAGCCCACTACCAGGCACAGTTCAATATGTACCCTGAAAGTTGTTACTCATCCCAGTCGACATATGGGCTAGTAGACCAACAGGGCTCACTTGGGCTCAATCAACTAACTCCCTCCCAGATCCATGATATCCAATCCCGATTCAGCCTCCAGAACCAAAATCAACATCATATGATCTCCGGGCCTTTCCACCAACACTGGCCCGCTACTCGTCAGAGCCAATCGCAGCAGCAGGCGCTTCCCTTCTTGGCCCCAAAGCCCGTTCCAATGAAGCATTCCGCCTCTCCTCCAAAGCCCACGAAACTCTACCGAGGAGTCAGGCAGCGCCACTGGGGCAAGTGGGTCGCTGAGATCCGTCTACCCAAGAACCGGACCCGACTCTGGCTTGGTACCTTTGACACTGCCGAGGAGGCGGCCCTGGCCTACGACAAGGCGGCGTTCAAGCTGAGAGGCGACTTCGCGCGGCTGAACTTCCCTCACCTCCGCCATAACGGGTCCCTCATCGGCGGCGACTTCGGCGAGTACAAGCCTCTGCATTCCTCCGTGGATGCCAAGCTTCAGGCAATCTGCCAGAGCCTGGCTGAAGGGAAGAGCATTGACTGCAAGAAATCGAAAGGGACAAGGCGGAAAGCGGCGGAAGAGGAGAAGGCCGCCGCCAAGACAGTTGACGCCGGATCTGAGAGCGAAACCGGGTCGGGCCATGTAACCGACGGCTCATCTCCGGTGTCGGATCTGACAGTTCCGGATTTCACGGAAGAGGAAGGCACCTGGGAAGCCTGTTCGGAGAATCTGATGTTGGAGAAGTATCCATCTTATGAGATTGATTGGGCAGCTCTTTAAGTTCAAATTGATGTTTTGTTTAGTCAAAAAAAAAAAAAAGAAAAAAAATTGGTAGCGGTATGGTGGTAGCTTGCTTAGTTTGTGAAGTTGTAGATTATGGTGGTGGTTTTTGTTTGTTTTAGTAACTTGGGGGGGGGGGGGAGGCTCTGCAATGGAGTTTTTGGTAGTTGCAGGATTAGGCCTCGGTCGTTGTCTGTTTTGTTTTTTTTGGGGGGAGGGTGGGGTCAGTGTAGAGGGGTATGGGGGGTAATACTCCTTTTATTATTATTAGAGCAGTAAATGGGCTGGTGGTTGGCCCAATTACCATCTTGGTCAAGCTGGTTTTAGTGTTGGCTGGACCAAGTTTTGGATGGTTGTTAGTAGGAGTAGTGTACTATTTTATCTATCTTATGATGATGATGTAATGTTGATTTTAAGGTGTCCATATATTATTTTGTTATTATTAGCAGTGTAATAATGAACCACTCACTATCTTGTTTTTGGTAATATCAGTCATCATTTTCTTTTGAAATTTTGTGCATTTTATCTGAAAAATTGCGATTATTTGAGGATATAGTAATGTATTATGGGCTCCTTCCAAATCTACATATCTACTACTCTACTCAGAGAGCAAGGCATTTTATTTATTGATACATTGCTCTTTAAAGATCAACAAAACAATAATACCATTGGTAAAAGAAGAAGCTCAATTGCAAGGAGGGACTAGAATTTTTCTAGTATTATTATTCACTCGCTAGAGAAGTCTCACAAGTCACACAATGGCGGAATTTGAATTGGCCTGTAGTCTTGTTTGGACTCTGATTTTTCACCAAAGATTTTCGTCCCTCATCTTTTTATCTCACGTATTGTTCTACTAGAACTCCTAAGAGTAGTAGTAATTCAAACGTGACATTATTGAGTAAGCAGTTCCTTTCACTTGCATTGGACATCTTGGGTCGGCGGAAGAGGGGATCCCGTGGGAATTTGATTTTTGATTAAAGGTGCGCACGAACCTCCGTTTTACAATATGAAAGCAAGAAAACTCGTGCCCCAGAGGAACACCAACCAACAAAAATAATGGAATGCAAAATCAGTAGTAGTTTCAATCCCGACTTTACTGATGATCAACGTCTTCCTTGGGCCACAAAGATTACTTGAGGTTCAAGATGAAAGATTTGGAGTTTCAAAAAAGTTTTCTTGTTTCACTTTAGATTGTGATCCTTTCTAGTTTGTTGCATCTACAACTAGTAATTAAATCAATAAAATTACCATTATTTTTCTTGGTCTCAGCAACTATCTTTTTATTTTATATACATCGCATTACATACAATTTAATTGCTATTCTAATTATTTCACAAAAATTTTCAAATAATCTGCTATCCGAACGCATCTTTGTTATTCATTTTTAGAGAAATAACAATCATGCTTTGCTTGAAATCAAGATTGGGGAAATTCAAAATAAGCTAAACCCCTTTTTTTTTTTTGGGTCATTTTAATTTGGGAAATAAGGACTATATGCAACAATAACATGATTATTATTTCCAGCAATTCAATTACAAATGTGTTGCATAATTGTGTCGGTTGATGGCAATTTGCCAAGTCACGATTCATGCTAAAAGCAACAACAAATTCTGGCCGGAATTGGGGCGAAGACAATTAACAAATCGGCAAGCAATATCAATGGCAATAGCAATATCAATATCACTATCACTTGTCTCCCTCACTTTGACTTAGTTCCGTGTTGTAATTTGCCCAAATGAACGAATGAATGAATGAATGAATGAATGGGGGAGCGGAGCGGAGCGTCGCTGCTCTCTCTCCAATTATGTCATATGCTTCTTCTATGTCTAGTTTTGCAATTTGCAGCAGATTCAACTCTCAATTATTGAATGAGGATGCAATTTGGGTGTCATACATTGCAATTTGCAATTAATTGATTGCTGTCGTGCAAAGGGTTCATTTTAGACAAACAGATGGCAAATTAATATACTACTATATATGTTTGATTGGTTAGTTGGGTGGTAAACTGCAATCAGAAAATAGGCTGGAATTGAGAGTTCAACCACTCGGGTTGCACTTAACTGAAGTGTGCATTTATAGGAGTAGTCTTATTAAATTGATTGGAATTTTTCTTAATCTTGATCCTTTCTAAGGATGAAACAAAAAAAGAAAACTATTATTGATTTCATTTGGTTAGCATTTCTTGAAATTCTTTTTTTTTTTTCAAAAAATATTTTCTAAGTAGTAATATTTTCTTTCAATATATCATGTCATAAAAAATATTGTAGCACAAACATAATTTAGAAAATTGCAATTCAACCAAAACCATGTACTAACACATATTGTGGACTAATGGTCTCCCTCAAATTGATTGATTACCATAATAAATGCAGAAGGATCCATTCTAAGCCTTCAATTTTTTATTTTTTTTTGGAGAAAGACTTCAAACAAAAAGTCTTCTTTAAATTGGTTTGTGGATTAGAAGTTGGGAATCGGCCGCACAAATTAAAGTACAATTATTGAGGGTGAAAACAAGGAAACAACAGCGAAAGTGCTCATTGTTTCGTCACCATCTAAGTCAGCATGATGATTTCCAATCTTGACTTTGGAATTGGATATGCTTTCAGGAGGGAATGAATTCGAGGAAAAGAAAGGATATGGGGGAATCCCATCAATGAATGCTCAGCAAGCAAGATAGGATTACTTTTTATCTTTTCGCCCCTAAACTTGTTCCTTATTCTCATTCCATTTCATATATATATATATATATATATCTCAACCCCTCATTCATACTTGTCTCACTTGAGTTTAATTTTACAACATGTTTAACATATTATTAGTAGAATCAACAACCATGCAAATCATTAAAAATGTCTTATTTTGTTACAGCTACGATTCTTGTTGTCTTTTTTTTTATCATTGTTAGCATTTTTGTCATTGATTTGTTTAGTTCTCCGATCCATTATTTACTAACGATTGGACTTAAATAGGATAAATTACGAGATAAGGATGTAAATTATTTCAAGAGCCATTTGAATAAAAAAGGTAATAGAGACAAAACATAAATTTTTTTTTGGGAAAAGGGCAAATTTTTTTTTGAGCTACAGTCCTATCAGATAAGGGTGATGAGTTTTAGAATTCCGTTGCAGTACATGACTTGACTGCAATGGTTATCCGGAAAAGAAGGGAATTTGATGACTGCCGACTGTGCTGCAACAACTCAATGCGCACTCCAATGAATTTCTTTCTTGTCCTTTCAAATTTAACGCTCACTATCTAGTCATTTTTCACTTGCTTCTGAGGAACTTTAACGTACACTTTTTGACGAAAAGAGAAAGAATAAAAGGATCGCATGGTTAAATGTATCTATCACTTATCAATACCCTTACTAAGGAGTGGATTGATTATTTTGCAAGGAGTTGCTTATTTGATAATATCAATATCATAAGATTAAACGTCCAATTTTCACCATTAATCACTCAATGGTACGCAGAAAACTCCAGTGTCCCTGGAAAAATTGGCTCTAGGTAACTTGAGATCCATGTAAAACAGTAAAAGGTTCCTCCTATTAGGAACTTAGACATGATCAACTGTACAGTTTGATTTGCACGAAGACAGAAAATTCCAGGTCATTCAGTTGATCCCTGAGCTTTTATGGTGTTATCATTTCCCTTCGCTTTGCTTCTGTTCTTTCATTGACTTTGTCTCGCTAATTCATCTGCTAGAGCTGGTATTGGGATATGCTCAGCAGATAAAAAGGTGAAAAAGCTATTAGATGATTGAACACCGAAAGCTACCACTATGGTTAAAATACTACTTTTACCTACGCTCCAAAGTCCTTGGTAACCAGCTCCAACCATCAATTTATTAACAGTTCAAAGATCTGTTGAGCATTTTCTGTTTAACATCAATTTCAAGCTTTCTTTTACACCCAAAAAAAAAAAAAAAACTAGATGATTGAATTATGAGTCCATGGTAAGTGCAGAGCAGTGCTCATTGTTCTCGGTCCATCTTAAACTGTAAAATGGTACTCATTTTACTTGTTATAATAGTACTCATCCAAATTTTTCAATAGCATGAATTCAAGAATTTCTTGAACCATATTAGACTGTCAATGCAAGAGCTTTTAGCATTACTCCATTCAAGTAAAGGGTTTCGTACTTTCTAGTGCTCGTCTGTTCTAGAAACGAAATCTGAGGCCTTGGATTGTGTGGCCATTATCTTGGAAGCAGACGATACGGTCAAATTCAGAATCAAATGGTTGGAAAAACTAGCCAGTGTCGACTGACCACTTATAGCAAGCATGCGCGCAGAGAGAGAGAGAGAGAGATATATATATATATATTCATTCAATCATAAGAGCAGAGAAAAAGGAATATTTAGGCGAACCTGTTAAGTATTCCCAAAACCACTTTTCATTCGTATTCTCTTTTCTGGCTTTCAGCACATCCTAACGCTTCAGGAACTTTAACCCGTGACCAAAGACCAATGGAAGAAAGAAACAACAAGGCATTGCTCTGCGCCACTAGAATTTAGTTGTGGTCAAGTATGTTTAAAGCAAGGTTCTGATTTTCTCTGTCTTTTACTTCGGCAGCAAAACGTGACTGGTGACACGAGTTTTGTTGGTAACTGAGGTCCTCTCGAAAAGTCGTGCAAGTCTTTAACGGCACAAAGTTATTGCTTCAACACTTTTGCCTCCACTGCCATTCCATTGCAATCAACTGAGCTCAGTTGGCCACCAGCCAGCTCAGTTGAAATGTTGTATAGAAGCATCTGTAAAATGTTGTACTCAAAAGTTCATTTGCTTCAACACTTTCGCATTCATTAGTACTCTATTTCAACTTAGACAAGAGTTAGGTAAGTTAGCAAAAAGGGTTTCTCTATAGCACATGAAGTGAAAGATTCACCACTCCCTCTGTTTGAGAGATGCTAATAAAAGGTTTTTGGGACGGGGGCTTAATGAGCTCAGAGGGAGTTGAGATGTTAATTTTTTCTTTTTAAAAAATAAAATTAATTTAGAAAAGTGTCTACATACAACTATGCAAGGGAAACCATACATGAGTCTTGTGTATTTTAATATAAATTGAGTGCACTAAAAAAAAAAAAAAAAAAATTAGTGCCCGTTTGGTGTACTAATTGTTAAGACTTACTAAACAGCAAACAATAATGTAATTGTTTGCGGGGCAGTAGAAAAATAGGTGAAGATATGACTTCCAAAGTATAATACTCAAATATTCTAATAAAATGCTTGTCAGCCTTCGTTTTCTCTCTACCCCTTAAAGTTATTCTTTCTCTTAGTTTTACGGCAAAGGATGGGATTTGGCGCGGTTGCGGAATTCGTGCATCTAAAAGAAGTCAAAATCTATGTGAACGGGATATTAATGCAATCTCAGCTACAACGATTGCGAAGAATATAGCATATACTTTTGTTCCAATAGCGGTCTTGGAATAGATTTGCATATCTTGAATTCAAATCAATGTTGATTAAGGCACCTACTTTATAGCGGGCAAAGCTATTAAGCCCAGCACAACCTTCATTTGCTTACATTTGGCTCAGAACAGATCCATCATTGTCTACGAGCACGTAGCGTAACCCTTTTGACTAATTACAAGCATCATTGAAATGGGCATAATAAGAGACACGGGGAGAACCCTGAAATGGTGGTAGGAGAAAACAACTTGCACTTTCTTGGTTACATTATATACACGATCGAACCATCCTAGACGTCCTAAGTTCTGAAATGCAAGCGGTATCCATTTGCTAATTATATCAAGCATAAAGATTAACCCCAATTGAGCATCGTAAAAGTATCATTTAAATGGTAAAACCTGGGAGGCTAGAACAGTCACGACCAAAGTGGTGGTTGTTAAAAGAAAGCTCAGCGAAAAATTAGGTCTTTTTTTTGTGGTTCAATTATGGCAGAGAAATTACATGGCTAAGTTCATAATAATGAATTTGAGTTTTGGAAGATTGCCATTTGTTTGATGACCCGACGCCCCCAAGGTTTAACTGGAATATGTTCTCCAGTTTCCACCAGAGAAAAAGTACGCATATGATTCCTAGAGGTCTCAGATTCAATGCCCCAATAATGGTCAAATGCTAAGAATCAAACGTGCAGTTCATGCGTACTAAGAGCCAAGTATAAGCAAGAGGATGTGCTGAACAACTGCTTCAGCACTACAAGTAAATGCATTCAACTTTCAAGTTATTAACCCGTCCCGACCGTTGCTCAATATAATTTCTCCGAGGTGCACCAAAAGTTCCCTGCTGAGATGACAAATAGCCTCACTACCTTTGGAACAACTGCACCAATCATGATAAATACACAATTGCTGGAAAACTAGGATAAGAGTTGGCCATTACAAAAAATCTAGTTGAACTAATCTAATCCATTGTAAAACAGACAAAAGAAGAACCACAGATGTGACAGAGAGTCTGCCAACCACGCCGTTTCCACAGTTTGTGCACGATTTTGGCTTGGCTCTCTTGAAGAGGACATCTTCATTGATAGAAGGAAAGACAGTACCAACAAACAGCACTGTATACATTATCATTCGCTAGCTGAATTTACCAATTTCCATCTTCTTCTTTATTGCTTTCTGCCCGTGATATACGAAAGAATCAATAATCCCCGAAACCGTGAAAACGCCTGAGAGGATAACCAGAGTTTGGGCCGTTAACCATAAAAAGATGAGCTAAATTTAGAATGGCAACCAAAAACGACATGCAGAAGAATTTAGGTTCAAGTCCCCAGTGAAAAGAAAGGAAGGATTTAGATCCTATCAGCCTTTGTGGACAAAAAGTAAAATAAAAAAGAAAGAGTAAATCAGAAAAAGTGAATACTGCAACATTATGATTTTTGACAAGGGAAGGGAAATTACCTCCAACTATAGCACAGACATTTGTGAGGAAGTGTAAAAATGATACGTGCTGCTCCGTGAAAGTTACCTACACCAGTTAAAAATTGCAGGAAATAAAGTACGAGTACACATGCACGAATTACTTCTCCAGATAGCCCATGGCAAACTGCCTTGGGCACAGTCAAATTGTCTGGATAGATTTTTGACTTTCTAATTGTTTAGAAGAGTTTGGATTGGATGCCCTTGATTCAATATCTATATAGAAATAATACATCATTTTTTTTTTCAATTTTCAACATCATAACGGACCTTGATTGGTGATAGGTCATAGAAGAAGAAAACTCCAGGAATAGACTGAAGACGGCCTATTTCTGCTCCCTTAAAATGTTCAGTTACAGAGAACTGCAATAGGCAGATGATGTTACATCTCATTCCATGATGAATTAAATAAAGTCAGCATAAAACTGAAAATCTTTGCAGCTATTCACACCTGATTTGATTGGATATTGTGTCCATTTACATCAGTATACACCGTAGGCACCACCTGCATTGCAGAGAAGAATATAATAGTCAATGATACCCACATGCGAATTATGAGATGCTTAATCCCACCCTCCATCTCTCGTCACTTATTTAGATAATCTAAATTTAACTTTGGACTGGGTACAGACTTGACACGGAGGCTACCTGGTATTACTAATCAACTGGAAGAAGAACAAGGTTGGCAATCAACTTTTTACAATCAAATAGATTCAAAAAGTCAAAAAACTACATCAATACAGAATTACTTGTTCTCATTTCGATATTGTGTCTTCAACAATTAGCAAGCACGTATACATGCAGATAAAATATTTTTAAGGCACATATTCAGCATCTATGTAAACATGGTGGACTATTGATATAAAACCTCTATAATGCACCTAGAAAAGAAAGTTCATATCATTGGTGCTCATAAATGAGAAGTTAAAAAAAAAACTTGAGGCACAAAGAAATCTCTGATATACCTCCTTTGTTTACTGCTTTAAAGCTAAGGTTCTCCAATCAGAATTGCTACCCTTCGTCTACCTCCATTTCGTCTACCACCATCAAAGATTTTCCTCATCCTTCTTTTTTCCAAAAGTAGGTGATAAGTACATTTCTAGTGCCAATGGCTTATGCCTACTTGTTACAACTCTTTTAAGTTTCACCTAAGTCCCAAAAAATAGGGACCAAAGTGGTGTTACTGCCTGAGAAATTACTGATCATACCTTGTACATTAAACCATGCCCAGAAAAGGAACTTACTTTATGGTCCAACAATTTGACTATCTCAACTATATCTAAGAGTCAAGATGTAAATGGTTCGACTAAAAAGTGGACATAGAGCTTGGGCCTTCCAGTCTGAGATATTGACATTCATCAAATTGAGAGGAAGATTTTGCAGTACATGTCGAAAAACTTAATTTGTGCCTCAAGATAAATATAACAAGTTTGGTATTTAGTGTCAGTATTCCTTTATGTTTCCAAACAGTGCGAGTTTCACACAACTAATTTTGATTCGGATGATAATAACATTCAGATATGCCATTTTGAAACTTCTGAGACCAAGTAACTTTCATTAATATGATTACTTTTATGGGGGTAAAACCAATGGCGCTAATCTGGTTCTCGTCTGCTTTTTCACACTTCTAAATCCATGGACTTGCCTTTCTACAGCTTGTATTAATCATCATTTTCTTCCATGGCTAGTACAAAACAAAAATAGCATAAGCATATAAAAATTGAGTAAAAAACTTCCAGCAACTGAGGAAACATTACCCAACATGTCTTGAACAACCTAAACAACAAAAGACACTCATTTACTTAGCCAGATATCAATTACACACCTCCGAAGTCCTACAGTAGGGTTGTCTACCGCTTATTGCCAAACTAAACAAAATTCTACAGATGCATTTCATCTATTCCCAGATCAAATTAAAGGCACAGAGAAATTAAAGATTAAACAAACACTCTAAATAATATTTCACCAACAGACAACTATCCTCCACGCAGAAACCTATCAATCTGAGCAGATAAAATAAGGAAACTAGTTGAAAAAAAATATGGGAAACTCCAAAGGAGTCCATGCAAATTGAACAATAGACTCACCTTGATAAAATATTGATACATCCCATTAGGAGTTTGTTGCGTCCATTCCACACTGAAAGTCATAAGAAAAGAAATGTCATCTTGAAGGATGGAACAAGACCAAATCGTCGCATCGGGGAAGGAAAAGAGAAGAGAAAGATACCCATCAAGAGGATTTACAACACCAGGGAAATAGTCTCCAAAAGCCAATCTATTGATCTTGTGACTTATCTGCAGTACATTTAACCTACAAAGTTAGTTCAAAGAAAATTCAACACAGGAACTGGAAAAAATATAGATTCGAAGCAAATTAGCAGTGCTTCACAGATGTATCGAATCAAAACATCATCTTACATTGAAACTGTCCTTCTGGAAAGCCAACAGGTCATGGACATGAACATTTGCCTGTTGAAAACTCTTCCCAGGTGCAAAATGAAAGTTTCCAGCCACCTTGTTCACATCTAAGAACCCATAAATATTGCACCCTTCACCTTCTTCATCTTTGATCCTTTGAAGAAACCCTTCTCTTTTACACTGAAGATATGTACAAGAGTGAAATCGTAAACATATAAATTTTCAAGTCCCAACAGCTTTGTGCTCAAAACTGACAACTATTAGATGGAACACTACATAGGATTTAATTTTTCCTATACAGTTTAACTAAAACCATTTGAAGCATAAAGGATAAGTTTGCAATGCACAAGCCTCTAAATGCCAATTTTCTGATTTCAGAATTGCAAGAGAACGAGACTAGTGGATAAAAAATACACATAAGCATTGCTCAAACCTCTACTTAATTTAGATAATTGTTACAGCACATACAACTCAGAGCAATCTACCCCTTATACCTTCAAGCTAGTGCCCATTTAAGCTTATCTATGTATTGAAATTGATCAGCCAAACTAATGATTAAAGTCTTCTACCTCTAGAAGAAGTAACAGATAAATTCCATGCAGATGCATATACCAAAAAGAAAAGGAAGGAATTTCAATTCTAAATACAGCAACAAAAATGCTATAGTGAAGTTAGAGAACTCATGGTACCTTTTTCAGTGCAAGTTATTATCCAGACAAGCAAAACATAGACCAATGACCAAAAAGAGCCAACCACTCACCTGGTCGATTAAATCTGGATTTGACAATGCCCAACCCTTCTTTCGATATGCTTCTCGAACTTCTTCACAGGAGTTGCAGCAATCATCATCCGCCTGAGGAACACCCATGAAAGTGAGGGTAGGATCTCAGATATATTAAAGCATCATCATACACCTAAAGGGGTTGTATTTGTAAAGCAGCAAAATTAACATACAAGATAGATATTTGTTCAGGACAATAGAAAGAAAGGAAATAAGGATGAAGTTCCAAAAGGTAGAGGAAGACCTGGTAAGTTGTAAAAGGAAGAAAGCCATAGCTCTAACCAGAAGTAACAGAGAATAGAAAAGTTGATAGCAATCTACCATTGACACTTTAAATAACAAAATGCGAAAGATACAATTTCAAATAAGCATAATGTGGTTTACAAGGTCATATAAATTGTAGCAGCAAATTAACGGCTTAGGAGAAGCACACCGTTTCTGCTCCAAAGCACGAGCCACAGTATGTCTCATTGTGTTCAAGCCTGCCTCCATGCCTTTGCAAAGGTTTTTCTATCTGTGCCATTAAAAAGATTTCAAAATTGAATCAGTCTTTTAGATCAGAGAGCAGCCAATGCACTGCTACTAAGTAATTGAAGGAATAAAGTTCAAATAGAAAACTATATATTTTGCTCAAGAGATTTTCAGGGGAATTAACTTCTCTGCTGTTGTAATCTAAGTAGCATCCAAGCATTTTAAAAACCAAAAACAAACTTTGCTAAGAATAGAACTTACACAAATAAGAAATAAAAATAACAGAAATCACAGACAAATTTAGTTTGCAAGCAGAAAAAAATTACAAGAACATAATGACTTAAATTTGTAAGAAGTGTTTACAGGTTAATAACAGATCATCACACTTCATCCAATTCTCTTTACTTGCCTTGGGATGTCCAATGCCCTCTTGCCGTGTTTCTATTACATTACCATGGACATCAATTCTTTTCTTGGTAATATCATGTCTCTGCAAGTGTTGACAGAATCAGATTGAGACATCAGCAATGAATCATGAGAATGCAAAGTGCTAGCATAATGCAGCATGTTTTCATCAATTGTCAAGACTCCATATAGCTATATTATCATAATTTTGGCCTCCATGCAAGACGGGGAAAAAGCAGGTTAACAAGTAATACACAAACACAATGCACAAATGTATGAACCGGAAAATACTTACCAGAACAACACTGTGCCCCCACCCCAAAATCCCCAACCCATTGAAAGGACTTAATGGCATGGAAAGTTAAAGGGTAAAAGTTCAAAGAATAAAGTTTACATTACCTATACATGCAAAAACAGAAAAAATGCACGATGACAAGAAGTATAAAGAGTGATGCTGTAATACATACGACATCAAGATGTTGCTCTCCGCTGATATCCATGGCATCAAGGCTGAGCATGGAACATGGAAGTGCTGGAAATGTGACATCAAACTGCACTTTCAGATACAATGAAGAGAAGTATCAATTAGTTTCATAAGGAACATGTGCAAGTCAAACAAGAATACATTCGAAAAAAAAGTGTTGATAATCTACAATGAATTGAAATAGTTCATAAAGCAAAGATTTTGGAAATATATATTCTTCATCGCTCAACCTAAACACAAAACATCAGCAGAACAAGCCATATTCTGTCAATTAGAAATGCTAGAAGCTTTATCCTAGAGTTATATAAACAGGTGTCAGAGATAAACTCAGGATCCAATTAGTTGCATGACGTGCCAATCTCAACCTGGGGGAGGGAGTGGTGGGGCTATTGTTGAGGAGGGGAAGAAATGGGAAACATAGCAATATGATAATTCAGAATAAAAAGTACTCAAGCAACAAAGCAGCAATTCAAGCATTGCATGGGAAAAGAAAAGAAAATTCTGTTACATTGATCCGCAGCCTTTCTCCCCTGGACGTATCTACTACAAGCTTTGTCTCAGTAACTGCATGGAGATATAACCCTATGCACAAGCCAAAATAAAGGGAACCAATAAATATCATGGAAATGACATTGACAAAACTAACAAGATTATATCTTTCCTTTATAGCTTTAAAGCCCCACCCTCCCCCTCCCCTCTTCCCCCCACCAAAAAAAAAGGAAGAAGAAAAGAAGAAAAGGCAACAAAAATGTAGCACTTTATTGTTTAAAAAGAATTAAGGGCCAGAGTTAGGGAGTGTACATTTATGCATCAAACAAGAGGACGATATACAATACCTGCATATCTATCATCAACAACAGCTCAGAGTAGGCAATTAGACCTTGAGAAGCATGAATAAATGGTCAAATAAACAACTTCCAGTTCATCTGATTCTTTTAGCTTAGTTCCTATTAAACTCTGGCTAAGAGACCATAAGATAACCTTAGAGAAAACTGTTTGATCCAAAGCCTCAGTTTAGCACACCATGAATTTCAAGAAGATAGCTTTAGAAAGAACTAGTTCATTCCAGTCAACTTTGGCTTTTCATTGTGCTAATATACTTTTTAAATGACATTAACGATGAAACTTGTAGACAAGAGTATATATCAGGAACCGATGGAAGCAATCACTATCAAATTCAACAATTTGGCTAGAGTTTTCATGCCTAGCTGAACAATAGAAATACCAAATGGTAACTACAAAATTGAATGCAGAGTTAAATTTGTATCGATACATGACAAACTCAGACATGAATAAACGGATTATAAAAAGTTCGTGCTGACAGCCTGAATGTTTGGTTAACTATGGGAAAAATGTACTAAGAAACCACAGGTATTCCTAGAAACAATCTTTAAGAAAACTTTAATATAAATCTCAGGACAATTTGGTTTTGTGTCCTAGCCTGGGAATGAGATGAAAATAGTAAAATACAAATATTCTCTTTAGGTAATATCAAATGCAATCAATCAATTGAGTTCAAATGCACAATTCATGCGTATTTCTGCACCCACAACATCAGAATATATTAAATTTGATCTCCAGTGATTCCTATGAGTACTAAAAAAAAAAAAACCAAACATTGGAAAAAGAGAATGCTCCAGACTCTCTCTTTCTCTCTCTGCCTGCCCTAAGAGGCTCCACCTGTCTCTCCTCCACCTCCCAGCTCATCTACCATTCCCCCCACTCCCGTCACTCTGATGTCCCTGGCTATTCCTCTGCCTGTCTTCTCTTCCTCTTCCTGTACAACTTCACCACAATATTGTAGATTTAGAACCTCAGAAACTGAAGAAGCATTTTGGTAGTTTTCATTTGGGATTTTGAGTTGTTTTTTGAAGTGCACTGAATATTGTCTTGGTTACAAACTAAGAATTTGACTATGATTTGGGAGGTTTTTTGGCTTCTCAGGTCCATTAAGGCTTCAAAGGGTTCAGGACATCAACGTTCTGACTTTGATGGGAAGCCACTCCAGTTACTTACTTTTATCATTTAATTCCAACTTTGATTCCTGAACACAAACCCAACCACTAAACAATTGAATAAAACATCACTATATGGAGCAAGTAGAGCGATTAAATTGCCCAAAACCCATCATATCTTCACTTGATGCTTCATTGATTATAAGAACTATATTCCATCCAGTTTGTCTTCTTGGTGATATACCCCTCAATCACACTCTCCAGTAGAATCTCGGAGTTATTTTAGCATTAAAATAGCACCAAGATATTCAATGTGTGTTCTTGATGATATACCATTTTCATTTCCCTTCAATCACAATCTCTAGTAGAGTCTTGCAATTATTTTACAACCATAGTAGCAGCCAAGATATCATATGCGCATTGCAGATCCAGCCAACTGAATTTCATTACAAGGTTGACGTAGACATAAGCTACACCCTACCTATGCACTCAAGATTCTTCGAGTTAATTCCACCAACAAATTATTCATTTCGTACTCGTTTTTGCATAACTTTGGCACCACCACCATGCAATTCCTACTTCCAATCAGACTCATTAATTATTATACAGCTAAAAGGACAACTAAAACTAGCTAGAAAAAACAGAATAAACATAAGAATCAGAAATTCATAGAGCATTAAAAAAAAAAAAAAAAGAAATCCCGAAACTTTCAAACACAGAATGAAACTACACCATATCTAGAGTAAATCTATATCTAATTTTAATCCAACCAAAGCAATAAAAGAGTCCTAAACTGAATACATACAATGATTTAAAAACTTCAGACAGAGAGAGAAATAAAGTTCAAAGGAACAAACTGAGCTCGGAGAAGAAGAGCAAGAACATGACGATGGAGGAAGCTAGGGTTATAACGCCGCCGGACAGCGTTCTGCTGTAGAAATCCTCATTGATCTTCGGATACGCATCCAAGCTTCGAATCTTGCTCATCAAATTCTCCATCGCCACAAATTCTATACGCTATTATGTATCTATCACTATATCTCTATAAATACATACCACAAAATCAATTATACAAACGAAAGAAAAAATCCAAAACAAACAAAAAATCTCAGGAATTATTGATTGATCGATCGATCGAAAATTATTCTGCCTAAACGCCTCGTTGCAGAAGGAAGAAGTGGGACTCAAATTGAAAAACAGTTTCTACAAAACGAGGCGTTTAAGAGTAAAAAAGTGTCGAGGTAGAGGTCTTGCTTGTGTGATTCTCTCTGAATCTAAAGTTTCATTTTCTTGTTTGGATGCGTTGAGTAATTTTTTATCTCTGGCTCGATGATAAATTTTCGTATTGATGATAAGAATTAGGATTTATTACATTTTATCCCCCATAACGTTAGGCCCATGTCTCACCTTACCCGCAGACTTTTGTTTGTAAGCACTTTACCCCGAGATTGATGGTCAGCACAAATGGCGACGGACGAAAACACTAAGGGGCTGCTTGTTTCACAGATTGGAATCGAAAATGGAAATGGAATCATAGACTCTGGTTTTGGAATTAAAACTTTTCATTCCAATATCTAGCTTGGTTCACACATTGGAATTAGCATCATTCCAATTCCTGATGCTTGGTTTGATGAGTGTTTCGGAATTAAATGCAATTAAATTCCAAATTTACCCCTGATATAACAATTCTTCTAAAACAAAAGAATTACACATACGGCAAATTAACATCTTCATAATTGTAACTACAATAGTTATTAACTTTTTGATAAAACATAAGAAAATCATAAATAATAAAAAAATTAATACCAGAAAATAAATATAGTGGCTGCATTAACAAGGAGTAAATTCCCAAAAAAATGAGTTTTTAAACAATCACCCAAAAGGTGACGATTTTTTAGTCTCTTCCCAAAGGGTGAAAAATGCATCCAAGGAATGTGTTCTTCCAAATAAAAACGCAACTTTCAAATACGTTATTTTATGTTTTGGAAATTTGTTTAAATATGAAAAATTGGTTAAATAGCTCATAAGATACCAGCTCTTTATGGGAAACTGGCAGGTTTTGTAATATGTTTTGTACCAGCTTTATGGGAAACATACCAGCTATTTATGGAAAAAAAATTGATTAAATAGTGTCCAAAGGAAAACTAGTATGTTTTGTATTTAACATAAATTAAATATGTGAAAGTTAAAAAAAAAAAAAAAAGAAATTACCCATAAGATACCAGCTCTTTAAGGGAAACTGGCAGGTTTTGTAGTATGTTTTGTAGCAACTCTTTATGGGAAACATATCAGCTCTTTATGGAAAAAATTGATTAAATAGCGCCCAAAGGAAAACTAGTATGTTTTGTATTTAACATAAATTAAATATGTGAAAATTTAAAAAAAAAAAAAGAAATTACCCATAAGTTACCAGCTCTTTATGGGAAATTGGCAGGGGTTGTATTTAATACGCTATTTAACCAATTTTTTATATTTAAACAAATTTACAAAAATTAAAATAACGTATTTGAAAGTTGCATTTTTATTTGGAAGAACGCATTTCTTGAATGTATTTTTCACCCTTTGGGAAGAGACTCAAAAATTGCCACCCTTTAGGAAGTTAGTTTAAAAACTCTATCTTTTTGGAAATTTACTCCATTAACAAGTTGTTTGTGGTTCCTACATTAGATAATGATATGAAATAGATCTCTCCTTACATATATGAACAAAAGAAGGAGACTCAAATCACAAAAGCTAACCATACCAAATACAAATCAATTGTCTAATCCAATCGAGAGTGCCACTCAATATCCACAATTTTCAAAAGACTAATCATATAACCATCTAACAATCACCATAACAAAAAGAAATTGCCATCAAATCATCACTTTCCAACTAACAATAATTTTACTTCAGCGAGTAGATGGAGGATAAAGAAGGTTAATTACATATTGTCGTTTCATTTCTGCAGGAAGATTGTAGAACACATGAAGCTTGGAAATCTGCTCCGAAAGTATGTCGGCTGCATTCATTACATCTCCACTCGGTAAAGCAAGTTTCATTAACTCAGCAATAACTTGATCTCTTCTATCGGAGACCAATTGCTCACGTTTATCCTCATTTGACATGGCTGCTGCCATAGTTGTGAAATTGGCTTGAATTCCCTCCACGAAATCTCCAAATTTGCTGGTGAGAAGTTGCAATGATGCATCAAGATCACCCCTTGTTGATGATGCAGATTTCATTTTTTTTGACATATTTGCAATGGGAGGTGATTGTTTCTTTTGTTTCTTGGAATTTCTTGTGCTTGTTGAGCTTGGTTGAGTTGATTGCTCCATGGAATTTACTTCATCTTCTTCTACCTTATCATTATCCGAGTTTGACATAGCATCAAGCCCTTCATCTCCTTCCTCCAAAGTTTGGACATCTTCCATATCTTGGACAGCTTGTGCAAAATCTTCAGCAACATTTCCAGTGGTTCTGTCTCTTCCATATACAATTTCAAGATCTCCTAAATATGGAAATTTGACATCCCAAAGGCCCTTCGCATCCTTTTGAGTCTAGAGATAGAATAGAAAGATAAATGATAATCTTAATAAAATGTTGAAAAAGAACATATCAGAATGTAAAAAGTAATCAATTTCTTACCTTGCACCAATCATCATACCACTGTTTTTCACAAGAAATCTTTTTCTCAGCATCATTCCAACTACAACCACTTTCTTTGCACATTTCAACAATTGCATGGAACCTATTTTTCAACCACTTAACTTTTGATTCAATATATGGGCTGACTTGTTTGGTAAAAGTAGGTTGCTTACGCAAGATAATTTTAAGCAATTTGCTCATATAATTATTTTACCTCTTCACCAGTCCAAAAACATTTATTTTTCCCTCTTCCACGTACAATTTCATCATTCTCCATCCTATCATTTAGAAGTCAACCCATATATATCAATTAATTTTGATACACAATAGCATATAACTGAAATTTATAATATAACAAAACACATAAAAGAACATACAATTAAAAGTCAATCCAAATTTAAAAGAACATACATCAAGTGTCAATCTAATTCACAAATCCACTACAAGAGTACATCAAATGTCAATCCAAATTTAATGAGTTTAAGAGCTAAACATCCATTCATAACTAAATACTAAGTCCAGCCCTTCAATTGTCAAACATTTCATGTGCTAAATTATTTCTAAAATTTGCCCATTGATCACTTGGCAAAATAGTGGATATGTACTCTACTTCTTCATCACTGTCTTCATCTTCACTTTCATTTTCTTCACTTTGTAGTAATTCTTGTGGATCAAAAGTCATGAACTTATCAAGTTGTGCAGCAGACAACATGCCATAATTATTCGCACTTGTGTTTGAATTGGAAAAAATGAAGGGGATGCTAGAATCTTCCACCTTCCTTTTAGCAATCCAAAACATCTTTCTATGATATTTCTAGCTTTAGAATGTTTCATGTTGAAATATTCCTCTGATCTTTGTGGTCGATAACCATTGAATTCATTAAGGTGAAATCTTTGCCCTCGATAAGGGGCAAGAAATCCATCAGCATTACAATATCCAGCATCCACCAAGTAATAACAACCTTCAAAATTCAATCATGCACAAATTAATACTAGACTACCTAATTTTCGAAAAAAAATTGATTGAATGGTATTGAATACTGCAATATATGTTTACCTTGTGGGACTCTAAGACCATTTGGTCTAGAGATAGCATTTCGAAGCACACGACCATCATGTGCCGAACCTTCCCAACCAGGCAAGACATAGATAAATTGCATATTAGGAGAACAAATCCCTAATACATTCGTTGCAATACTTCCTTTTCTCGTTCGGTATCTTGATTTTTGTTCGGTGGGTGGTGTCACATCTATTAATGTCCCATCTAAGGCACCTAAACAATTCTATTTTCACAAAAATAAAAAATATAAATGAGTTAAAATGTCTATATTGGATAGTTTAGATGAAAATATACATTTTATTAAATGATTGTATTTTAATGTTTGAATTACCTTCAAACATTTTCATCTCTCATCTGTGCAATCTTCGGTAATAGGCTCAGGCTTCTTAAGTAATATAGTATGCAATTTCAAAACTGCTAGGAGGCAAAGATTAAATTGACGACTCACCGTTTCTCTTCTTCTCCAAAATAGACCACAAATTGTTCTACTTTTCTTGTGGTGAGCCAAAACATATACAAACATGGCAACAATTTCTTCTATTGACATGTTTCTTGTAGCTTTCAAACCTCCAGTGTCTCTAATCATTTCACATAATATCCCAAATGTTCGTCTATCCATACGAAATTCGTTAATACAATAAGCATCACTCTCCCTAGTCAAATTGAATAAGTGTTGCATGCGCTCAGTGACTTTTTCTTCTTTTGATTTTATTTGGCGTCTTCTACTTTTGAGATGAATGAATATTAACTGGTACCACATCATAAACAGTGCAATAACAACCATTATCATTCCTAATAAAATCTGGTTTTGCCCTCGATATTTTTTGCGTATTCTGTTTTCAATAGGCAAACGTGGCATCTTTGTCTACATAACAATATGACAACCAAATGTAAGTATTCACCAAACTGGATTACGGCATCAAAATCTTCAAATGCATTAAACATCAATTGATCTTATTAAAAGGGCCTAGACATGCATCATACATCCGTAAACACAATGATGTATAGATATAAATAAGCATAAACAAACGAAATTGATGGTTGAAACTTGAAATCCTAATGTACGAATAACTATGAAACTGAAAGCTATTCAGGCAGACAATTTTACAAACAGGTACAGGGCATGTAGAAACCCACCCAAACTATACCAGTATTCACGGATCAAATAACCAAAAGATCAAGAATTGATTGACCTCCATTGAATGCGTAATCCAAGAAAACACATTAAAACATAAAAATGACAAATCTAGTGACATTAACATTTATCTCACCAAAAAAAAGAAGGTGATGGGTCTAGAGCATAGCATTTTGGTCCAGTTAGTGTTATTGTATCAGATTCCCTTCTTTTCTTCTTTATTTTTAGCTACCCAGTGAGTAGCATGAAAAAACAGAGAAGAAGAAAGAGAAAAGCTTGCATACGAAAAGAAAATTGCAGAGGCAAGGGAGTTTGTAATCCACTGACCTGGGATCAAGGAATTCACCCTAGTAGAAGACTCTTCAACTCTAGAATTCGTTGTCCAAGGAGAGTCGAAAGCCACTGATCTTTATGGTTGTCCAATCGGTGAAGTAGAAGAGGTAGAAAATCTGATGAAGAAGAAGAACAGAAGGTGCGGCGTGTAATGAAGAAAAAAAGAGGGTAGGTTCGTCATAAATATTTTT